TGTCTCAAACAACGAATGTTACGCCAATTTGCTCTCCATCGCAACTGGCTTGGGCCCTTTGTGTTTTGCCCATTATTTCTTTTGGTAATCGATTATATTTCTCTGTTTAATCGATTAACTGTCGTTTGCATTCCATTAATCGATTATTCCTCTTGATTTAATCGATTAGTCCTCTCAGAGCCTTCTAATCGATTAATCCCTTTGCATTAATCGATTATTTACACGTTGAAGGAACTCTGCGCAGACTGCATTAATCGATTATTGACACTGCATTAATCGATTATTATGCTGCATTTTTTCATCCCAGCTTCTTTTCTTGGACCAACGGATATATTTCTTCAACCCCTATTTTAACACTCTTCCTTGGTCATTTTTCTTATGAACAAGCACTCCTAAAATCCCCCAATCTTGAGGTTATAATCCTCCATTCATTTCTTCCTCAAATTGATATATTTTGAGAGAAAACTAAGTGTTTTCAAGAGAGTGTTCTTGTCATCCATAGAGCATAATCTTTTCTCATTTCTACTCTTGTGAGAGTTATTGCTGAGAGGTTGAAGAAGATTGTTCTTCTTGTTGTTCAAGGCTTATGTGATTTAAGTCTTGGTTGTGAAGTCTTGTAGAGAGCATATCTACGAGCGGTTGTGTCGAGGCTTGTGGGATTCAAGTTCTCGAGTTGTAAACAGTTTGTTAAGCACCCGTAAGCTTAACGAAAGTAGTGGTAGCTTCGAGAGAGTCTCTCGGGGAACTGGACTAGCCACGAGGTGGTGAACCAGTATACATCGGTGTGTTCTTTGCCTTCTCTATTTTATTTCCGCTGCACTTTCGTTTATCTTATTTAATCCTGCGAAAATCGGTAAACATTCTCAACAACTCTATTCACCCCCCCTCTAGAGTTGCACGCCTTGTCTAACACTATGAACTGCTAAGATGACCAATGGTCTTTATATCTTAGACTTAGAAGCCACTGTTTATAACGTAGATGTTAAGAGAAGCAAACCAAACAGTTTGAATCTCACATACCTTTGGCATTGTTGTTTGGGCCACATTAATGAGAAACGCATATCTAAGTTACGTCACTCTTGCGTACTTGATTCATTTGACCTCGAGTCTTATGATGTATGCCAATCTTGTTTACTTGGTAAAATGACAAAGGCTCCATTCACCGGTCATGGTGAAAGGGCGAGTGATGTATTAGGCCTCATACACTCTGATGTATGTGGCCCAATCAACACTGAAGCTAGAGGTGGTTTCTCATACTTCGTAACATTATTGACGACCTCAGTCGGTATGGAAATGTGTATCTCATGAAACACGAATCGGAATGCTTTGACAAGTTCAAAGAATTCAGAAACGAAGTAGAGAAACAATTAGGCAAAAGTATCAAGACCCTCCGCTCGGATCGAGGAGGTGAGTACTTAAGCCTGGAGTTCGACGACTATCTAAAAGAGCACGGGATCCTATCCTAGCTGACTCCTCCCGGTACACCCCAATTAAATGGAGTGTCTGAAAGGAGAAACCGAACGCTGCTTGATATGGTTCGGAGTATGATGAGTCTGACAACATTACCAGAGTCCTTTTGGGGCAAAGCACTATTTACAGCAGCACACACACTCAATCGCGTACCATCTAAAGCTGTTGAGAGCACACCATACGAACTATGGCGTGGGACAAAACAAAATTTGTCTTACTTGAGGATTTGGGGTTGTGATGTTTACGTTAGATGCCTCATGACGCCTGGTAAGCTTGATTCCAAATCTGACAGGTGTAAATTTGTGGGATACCCCAAGGAAACGAAAGGGTATGAGTTCTATCATCCGGCCGATAACAAAATCTTTGTTGGTCGGAACGGAACCTTCCTTGAGAAGGAGTTTCTCTCTGCTATTTCTAGTGGGAGAAAGGTAGACCTCGAAGAAATTCGAGAACCACAAGAAGAGATCTCAATAACAGTGGAACCAGATCATCAAGATTTAGTATCTCGACCAGCTCAGGTTTTACCACGTAGGTCAGACCGGATGCGTAATTAGATACCGGTTCCTTGTATCTGATGAAGGTGACATCTTACTGGTAGACCAAGGCGAACGTGAGACCTACCTCGAGGCAATCACGTGCCCTGAATCCGAACAATGGCTTAATGCCATGAAATCCAAAATGGAGTCTATGTACACAAACCAAGTCTGGACCTTGGTTGATGCGCCCGAAGGGATAAAACCCATAGGGTGCAAGTGGATTTTCAAAAAGGAAACAGACGTAGACGGGAAGGTTCATACCTTCAAAGCTAGATTGGTAGCAAAAGGTTATAGACAAATCCATGGAATTGACTATGACGAAACCTTTTCTCCAGTTGTGATGATGAAGTCCATTCGGATAATGCTTGCGATTGCAGCGTTCTACGATTACGAGATTTGGCAGATGGCCGTCAAGACGGCTTTTCTTAACGGGAACCTCAATGAGGATGTCTATATGACATAGCCTGATGGTTTTATAAATGCTGGTGAATCTGCCAAAGTCTGTAAGTTGCAACGGTCAATCTACGGATTAAAACAAGCATCTCGGAGTTCGTATATACGCTTTGATGAAACCATCACTAGTTTTGGTTTCGAGAAGAATTCTAGCAAGTCTTGTGTTTATAAGAAGGTCAGTGGGAGTGTGATAGTATTCCTAATCCTATATGTCGATGACATATTGTTAATGGGTAACGATGTTCCTGCTCTTACGTCTGTAAAGACTTGGTTGAGCGAGAACTTCGCCATGAAGGACTTGGGGAATGTTAGTTATGCCCTTGGCATAAGAATCTACCGTGATAGGTCAAGAAAGTTGATAGGTCTATGTCAAAGTACATATATAGATAAGGTTCTCGATCGATTTAGCATGTCTAACTCAAAAAGGGGATCCTTACCTATGTTACCTCGCACGGCTCTTTCCAAGAGCCAGAGTTCTTCTACTCCCGAACAGAAGGAACTCATGATGAAGGTCCCATATGCTTCTGCAATTGGTTCCATCATGTATGCCATGATATGTGACGTGATGTCTCATTCGCTTTAAGCGTGACCAGCAAATACCAGGGGAATCCAGGTGAAGCACACTGGACAGCGGTCAAGAACATCCTAAAGTATCTTCGGAATACTAATGATGCATTCCTGGTATATGGAGGTGAGGAAAAGCTGAAAGTGACCGGTTACACTCATGCAAGCTTCCAAACCGATCGAGACGATTACAAGTCACAAGCACACAGAGGTTGAGTACATGGCTGCCGCTGAAGCAGCAAAGGAAGGTGTTTGGATAAAGAAGTTCATTTCTGAACTTGGGGTAGTTCCTAGCATTAATGACCCAATCCCGTTGTTTTGTGACAACACTGGGGCCATTGCACAGGCAAAGGAACCACGATCTCACCAAAAGACCAAGCACATTGTACGACGTTATCACATCATACGAGAAATCGTAGACAGAGGTGATGTGGAGATTTGCAAAGTAGGAACAAACGACAACATAGCCGACCCCCCTGACCAAGCCCTTGGGAAAGCTAAAGCATGAGGGTCACACTAGGTCAATGGGCATTCAACCGATGCCAGATTGGCCATAGTGCAAGTGGGAGATTGTTAGAGTTGGTGCTCTTATGGCCAACTGCTGTTGTAATATCTTAGATATTTTCTATCATGTAAAGGCAGATGCATTAAGTTTACAAACATCTCATGCTAATGTAAACTCTTAATTTCATTCCTAGAATTATATTATGAGATGTTTATTAGAATGTGTCTTTTGATGTTGAGACTGACATCTTGTCACTTAGTATAATTCTAAACGGTCTATAGTCGAAGCATTAATGAGAGCGGGATATCGTTAGTGCGCGTGAGAGTTAGATGTTTGACCTAGTCTCTTGGTCAATGACGGAGTGTTCACATCTACTCTCAGGCAGATATTATCGTTAATAATAGGATGCCAGACCTGACCCACCTTAAGGGCATTGCCTAGACTTTTAGTCTATGCTCTAAGTGTCATTAATGCGACTATTGGTATAACGATCCTCAGACTTGAAGTATTACGTTCTTCGAATGCGTGAACCCGCATGCTTTGATTCATTGTCCTAAGCCGTATGAAATAAGGATGGTACACAGGCTTTGTATTCGAAGACGTAGATTACGTACAAAGAATTTGTCACTGCTACTTAAGCGGAATAATGTCTTGTTGTGGCCCACTGATAAGTAAGACTGAGGAAATGCATGGCCATGCTGAGATGAGTTTAGACATCTGTTCTCATCAGTCAGACTTGTTAATCAGTAAATAACTTAATGGCTACAAGTTGGATATTTTATATCTCTTGCACTAAGTTAAGACATTGGGACAAAAGGATCTACGTTATACAAAGTCTTATTCGTAGAAAGGTTTTGACGGAGCAAACGTCTGAACTTATAATCTGGGGTAATAATGTGTTGCTAGATACCGCTTATTACTTATAGTATTGGTCTAGAGTCAATACTGTGGCCAGTTTTATAAGTGCCTATATAAGTCACAAACTTTGAACAATTTAAAGAGTAGGATTATAAGACGGAATAATATTTAATTTGTATATTGTAAAATAGTAAAGTAAAATGTTTAATATAATATATATATATGTATATACATATACTTTTGTACACGGCACACACAAAATATGTATAAGTATACATATATATAATGTGCGTGGGTACATATATATATATATATATATATATATATATATATATATATATATATATATATATATATATATATATATATATATATATATATATATATATATATATATAAAATATACTTGATAACGTGTACATTTATATGTATATATTAGATTATATATTATATTGTGTACATTTTATTTTGGAGTGTCATTTTATTTATGAGAATAATTATTTTGACAAAACCTATTTTAAAGTATATTTTATATACTTGTTTTAAAATGTTTTGGGTATTTTATTTTATATCATAAAAATTATTGATGTCAAATAAAATACACTTTGAACATTTGAGAGGAGAAGAATTAAATTTTCCCGCTTTCTATTTTCGTACATTGTACAAATGTGGTGTGTGTGTGGGGCTTTGTCTCCCACTACACTTCATGATAAGGGATGTACTTTTGGAGTTTTGCTTTTGAAAATGTTTTACAGTATTCCATTTTAAAATATAATATACTCTTTCTCCTTTGAGAAAGCAATTCGGCCAAGAGAAGAGATGCAGTAGCATAATATTTGAGTTCCAAAAGTTATTATTTTGGGTGTAGAAAATTGTTATAATATTTTCTTCAAAATATTATTGATATATTTTCTACTATTTAATATACAAGATTTATATTATCCCTAAAATAATCTTTATATTAAATATACTATTATAATCTTTACTAGCATAAAGATTATAGTAGACTCCGGAGATTGTTCGTGTGTCATAGTTGGAGGCTGGACGCTTGAACGGCTACGTTTGCTCCTTCAACACTTTTTGCTCGACTACACGTTCATACCGCTTTACCGGAGAAGGTATAACTTTCTATCTCTAGCTATAGTTTTAGTACGTGTTCTTGGGCTAGTAATCACTTATGGGAGATTAAATTTTTGTATTTCCGCTGCCCTCTCAACCGTGGTTACCTTTCAAGATGCATACACGAAAATATTAATTAACGTATTACATACCATATTCAAGTTAGTTTCAGGATCATCACACCCTTTGGGTTCATTCGAATCATTGGCGAGTTGCTGATTCACATTACTGACTCCAACCATAGGGGTAAATGGACTATTGCTGCAATTACCAACATCAACCACATGTTGATCACTACTTCCTTGCAATGCACCATCTTGTGTGAAGCCAAGGCTAAAGGAGGGTATATCAGCCACCATCTGCTTGAGCTTCCTCCTCTCCAACTCTGCCTCCTCTGATGCAACCAACCTAGAGATATTTGCAGGGTCGCTCCAAATGAACTCATCATAAGACACTTCAGAAAGTGCACATTCCGCTGGCTGCACAACATCTTTTGGATTTTTATTCACTAATCCCAGTAACCTTCCAGCAGCCATCTACAATTCCACATAAACTTCGTTGTTCATCGCCTCAGCTGGTGCACCCTCCATCAACGACACTAACTCCACGAATGTCTTTTCCAGCATCTTACCCTTTTTCTGCAAACTTTTTAAGAAAAACCTGATGCATAATGAATCATAATATAAGAAAGTATGTGCATTACCTATAAAAATAAAGAGCCTGATCAGTGCATATTCATTGTAATATCTAACTTGCTACCTTCAACACATCACCATCATCCTCTCGTATCTCATTCTGTTGAATGTCTTCTCCCTTAATCGAATCTTTCACTCCTCGAACCACAACACGCCCTGCCCCTTTGCATTCTCCTCCACTTTGTTTTTCTCAGCTTCAGATTTCTCACACACATACCTTCCATCGTCAAATCCCAAACCAAACCCACTAGCCTTCACTTCTTTGTTCTCCCTATCCCTATGAATCTTTGATGTCCAATCAACAAAAGCAGGTGTTGTCCTCTTCACATCCCTATTATAAAGAACCACTCTATCGACATAGAAAACCTACAATGCAGAGAAAAAAATTAGCTACCTGTAAAACAAATTCAATACAATATGTATATAAATTGATTATATTGCATTTGAACCATACCATCAGAAACATCAATGGTCCTTTGAAGTATTTACTCTTTCCATCCTCCCATCTGATTGCACTGTCTATCAATGTCCTGTGCACATAATCACACCAATTCAATCTCACTACGGAATCAATGTTTGCTATGTTCTTCAAAACAGCAGGATTAACGTAACCATGGCTTGGACTATCTACAAGAAGTGCCACTACCAACAACAACAACATCCCAGTTGAATCCCACTACAATAGGGCCTGGGGAGGGTGTGTGTACGCAGATCTTGCCCCTACTCGGAAGTAGGGAGGCTGTTTCCAAGAGACCCCCGGCTCAACCTGCACAAAAATATGGAAGGGAACACATGTATAACACGGGTAAAGAGCCAAGTACAAGCAACAAGTACAAGCAATAGCAAAAGATTCCAAATAAACACAACATACTACAAACAACCTCTACAACACCGAGCTCCTATCCAGCTACTCTAATCCTAGTTTTCCAAAGGTTCCTATCTAAGGCCATATCCTCAGTCAGGGTGAGGAGTCCTAAATCCTGCCTAATCACCTCCCTCCAATTCTTCCTAGGTCAACCCCTTCCCATACTTCCCCCGATAACCGCAATCCTCTCGCCTCTCCGTACAGGGGCGTAAGCATTCCGCCGTCTCACATGACCAAACCATCTCAACCTTGCTTCTCGCAACTTATGTTCCCCCGGTGCCATGCCTACCTAACGTCGGATAACTTCGTTTGAAATCCTATCCAACCTTGTCTTCCCACACATCCATCGTAACATCAGCATCTCCGCCGCATGCAGACGACACACATGAGTCTTCTTAACTGCCCAACACTCTGCCCCATATAACATAGCAGGTCTGACTACAGATCGATAGAACTTACATTTCATCCTGGGCGAAATCTTCGGATCACACAACACCCCTAAAGCTAACCGCCATTTGGCCCAAGCCAATCCAACACGATGTCCAACATCCCTATCTAACTCTCCATCAGCCTGGATTACCGAGCCACGATAACGAAACCTGTCTACCTTAGTTACTAGGTGAGAGTCAATCCTAACTTCCACTTCTGATTCTGTTTCCCGGCTGCTGAAACAACATTCCATGTATTCACTCCTGTTCCTACTAATTCTGAATCATTTAGTCTCAAGCGCAAGGCGCCATAGTTCCATCTTATCGTTTAGTCCCTCACGTGTGTCGTCGATAAGCACAATATCATCCGCGAAAAGCATGCACCATGGGACCCTTCTTGAACACCTTGAGTTAAGACGTCCATCACCAAGGCGAACAAAAAAGGGCTAAGGGCAGACCCCTGGTGCAACCCCATCCCTACCGAGAAAGACTCAGAGTCGCCCCCGGAAGTCCTTACCCTGGTCATAGCCCCATCGTACATATCCTTGATCGTGCGAGTGTACACAATGGGAACTCCTCTCGTCTCAAGGCACCTCCATAAGACCTCCCTTGGCACCCCATCATACATCTTCTCAAGGTCAATAAACACCATATGGAGGTCCTTCTTTCTAGCCCTATACTCTTCCATTAACCTCCTCATGAGATGAAAGGCCTCTGTAGTCAATCTGCCAGGCATGAAACCAAACTTGTTCTCAGAGATGCAAACCCCTTTCCGCACCCTATACTCAAAGACTTGCTCCCAAACCTTCATGGTGTGGCTAAGCAGTTTGAATGTCACCTTTGCCTTTAAACAGAGTGACCAAGAGACTCTCCCTCCACTCATCAGGCATCCTTGCTGTCCGGAGGATAACATTGAAGAGTTTGGTTAACCAACCCTCGCACCACAACCCACATGCTTCCAAAACTCCACTGGAATCTCATCTGGTCCCAAAGCTCTCCCACTACGCATCCTGCGGAGAGACCGAACCACCTCTTCCTGGCAAATGCGCCAGCAATACACACAAGACGCCCCGGACTGCCCCAACTCATCAAGAACTAGCCTTTGGTCTCCTCCCGCATTTAAGAGTTCACTAAAGTACTCCCCCAGCGCTTAGCCACCTTGGCAGTCTCAACTAACACACTACCATCGCTGCCCTCACGCATCTCATGTGATCCAGATCTCGGGCCTTCCTCTCGCGCACCTTAGCAAGCCGGAGCAGTGGATTAACACTGCCTTTCTCCTCAATATCCTTGTAGAGGCGTTCAAAAGCGGCATTCTTTGCCCTCATAACCTCTAACTTAGCTTCTTTACGTGCCTTCTTGTACTCTACTCGTAACGCCGCTCTTTCCTCCTCAACATTGCAGCCCATGTACCTCAAACACGCCACCTTCATAGCTTCCACCTTACTTCAGATTGAATCGCTCCACCACCAATCGCCCTGACGCCTACTCCCAGAGCTAGAGCTCACACCTAACACTTCCCTGGCTGTTTCCCTGATGCAGTTAGCAGTCCGCACCCACATACCAGTAGCCTCTCCGGCCGATTCCCACGCACCTTTCTCCTGCACTAGCCTGATCAACTTAGAGATATTCTCCCCACTTAGTCTCCACCACCGGATTTGTGTGTTGCCACTCAAAGCTCTCATATGTTTCACCCACCTGATCATGACTTCCATCACCAGAACCTTGTGTTGGGTAGTGATGTTTTCACTCAGAATTACTTTAGCATCCTTGCACAGCACCCGATCACTCCTGCACAGGAGAAGATAGTCGATTTGTGTCGTCCCCACTCCACTAACAAATGTAGCCAAATGGTCGTCTCGTTTAGGGAAACAAGAGTTAGCAACCACCATATCACTCGCTCTTGCAAACTCCAAGAGTGAAACTCCCGCTGGGTTCCTGCTGCCAAAGCCAAAACCACCGTGCACGTCCTCGAAGTCCTCGGCCGATTCTCCAATATGGCCATTGAAGTCGCCTCCAATGATGACTTTCTCAGTTAGTGGAAAACCAACAACCACCCCATTCAAGGCGTCCCAAAACTCCCTCTTTACTTCGTCCGCCAAGCCAACATGCGAGCCGTAAGCACTCACGACATTGATCGCACACCCACCCAAAACCAACATAATAAACATCAGACGATCACTAATCCTCTTCACCTCCACCACAAACTCTCGCGCCTCCAGCGCCACCAGAATGTTGACTTCATTCCTTCCCCTAGTTGAACCTGAAAACCACAGTTTGAAACCATCAACCTCTCGCGCCTTAGTGCCCACCCACCTGGTTTCGTGCATGCATGCCACCTGAATCCTTCTCCTCTTGAGAACTTGCACCAACTCAATTGACTTACCAGTGAGGGTCCCTATGTTCCATGAGCTGAAACGCACATGTGACGCTACACTACCCCTCCACGACCCTCCTACCCCCGTCCCATCCCCGGGATATGACTGTATAGCTACATTGCTAACCCACGCCACCACACCTACACAACAGCACCAAAAGCAAAGTAGGGACGAAGTTACTAACACAAAAACAATAGGATACGAACCACTACTAAAGAAGGTAAGAGCAACAATATAAATAACAGTAAGACAATACAATATATATATATATATATATATATATATATATATATATATATAAGGAACACAAACAAGATGATCGTAATTATAAAAGAAAACATAAAAATCAGAAGTTTGAAAAACAAACTATTACAAAACACTTTGAGGTAAAACAAAAACTAAAAACTGAGAACAATACAAAACGGTATAGTAAAATGAAAACGTTTTTTTTATGACAGATTTAAATCAAGCACATAGAAGATGAAACAAATTTTGTAAAGAGAAAAAAACTGGCAAAAATTTAATCGCGAGTTGCCGGTATAATAAATAAATAAATAGCATCACGAACGAATTAAAAGCATGTGTTTTGGAAAGAAATAATCAGATAAAAAGACAATTCTATTTGAAAGTTCTTAAAGAATGTTTATGTTTATGTTTTTTTTTAAAAAAAAAACCGCAACTAATAAAGAAAACTATTTTAGAAATGTCTAATGAGAAATTTTTGTTTTCCAAATACTCTTTAATGTGCGGGCACAATTTCACTAATTCGTACTTGAAAGGAGTCATGCCACATTATAACTTATAGTTTCTAAGAAATTTGATCACTTTTTGAGAATCTATGAAGTTAGAACTTTAGGTGTTTATTAGAAAAGTCAATTTATGATTAATGCTAAAACTAGTTTTTCGGTTTACTTTGACCTTGTGATTAGTTATCTAGACTGCGTTGGAGTTTTTTTTGAGTGATCACAAGTTATTAAGAGCATCTCCAATGGGTATGGTAAATTTTGATAGTGTATATTGTATTTTACACTACCAAATGTGTTTTAGCATTCCATTTTTTCATAGCTCCTTGTAGAAATTTTAGCGGAAACTGATCTCGTTTTCATTAATCACAAACCGATATATATACAAGTACATAAACGGGCTAACAAGTACGGGCCCAATAACATAAATATCTACGGTTAATTACAAATATCCGCCAACACTCCCCCTCAAGTTGGTGCATGAAGATCTCGAATACCCCACTTGAACAGTAAGAAATCAAAGACAGGTTTGGATAATGGTTTGGTAAAAATGTCGGCCAACTGATAACGCGTAGGGACATAGCGTGTAGACACCTCGTGGCGCTGAACAGATTCACGAACCGTATGACAATCGACATCAATATGCTTCATTCGTTCGTGGAACACTGGATTCGCTGCAATATACAAAGGTGATTGATTATCAGAATATAAACGCGGAGGATATAGAATGGGGACACCTAATGCGCCCAAAATGCCGTGCATCCAGCGTATCTCAACGCATGCATTGGCCATGGCCCTATACTCAGCTTCTGCAGAAGACCGTGCCACGGTGGTTTGTTTCTTCGTCTTCCAGGAAACCGGGGAAGTGCCCAACATGATAAAATATCCGCTAACGGACCGTCGAGAAAGAGGGCAACTGGCCCAGTCAGAGTCACAATAAGCAGTAATCTGAAGATTACTAGTGGCGCTCAGAAAAATTCCCTGACCCGGGTAGCCTTTGATATAACGCAGAACTCGCAGAGCAGCAGGCATGTGATCAAGATTGGGTGCCTGCATAAACTGGGACAAAACATGAACGGAGTGACAAATATCAGGACGAGTGATAGTGAGGTAGATCAAACGGCCAACTAGTCGACGATATCGTGCAGGATCTTGGAGAGGAGGGGCTGCCGAGGTGGCCAGGCCGTGCGCCGTCGGCATAGGGGTGCCCGCCGGCTTGCATCCCAACAGGCCGGCCTCGTGTAAAATCTCCATTGCATATTTGCACTGGCAAAGGACCATACCATACGGAGACTGAGCACATTCAATCCCCAAGAAATATTTGACAGGGCCCAAGTCTTTGAGCTAAAAACACCGGTCGGAGTATCGCTTAAAGGAAGAACACATGGAAGGATTATTGCCTGCAACCAATATATCATCAACATAAACCAACACAGTAAGAATATCAGGGCCACGACGTAAAATAAATAAAGTGTGGTCCTTGTGAGCTTGCTTGAACCCCCAATCACGAAGGGCAGAGCTCAGCTTATGAAACCAGTTCCGTGGAGATTGACGCAACCCATATAAAGATTTTCGGAGTTTGCATACTTTGCCAGGAATAGAATACCCAGGTGGTAACCGCATATAGACCTCCTCAATAAGATCTCCATTCAGAAAAGCATTATTAACGTCAAGCTGATGAACCTCCCAATTTTTAGCCACAACCACAGATAAGAAAATACGAACAGTGCCCATTTTGGCAACAGGGGCAAAGGTATCCGTATAATCTTTCCCAAATTCCTGGTGATTCCCCAAGAGCACAAGGCGTGCCTTATCCCTTTCTTTAGTACCGTCGGACCGGAACTTGGTCCGATAAACCCATTGACACCCCAAAGCAGTGCGATCATGAGGAAGATCCTGTTGCATAGCCACTCGCCAATTAGCATGTTGCATGGCCTCCTTGAAGTTCCTAGGAACCTCATGGGATGTAACACCGGCCAAGAAACCACGATGCCTGTTGTAACGCCACAAAATATGGCCTAAAATTTATTATAAAACAAAAGTAATTTTTGTCCAATAAAAAATATTTATACGTTTGACCAAAAAATAAATGGATTTTCAAAATAATAACTTTTTGTTAAAAAGTTATATTTATGGATATGTCTCGAAGAGACGAATCCAACAGTACATTTTATAAACCAATCTGATTCATAGATTTCAAGTTATGTCAATTTTAAATAGTAAAATTTGTAACTTTGACCCATAAAATAAACTAAATTCAAAAGTGATTTCATCAGATTAGAAATCATAATTTTGACACTTGACAACATCATATTTATCATTTGGATTTAACTCATATATTTTTATCTCATTCATATTATTAAATTAATTTATAACGGAGACAGACCTGAACACTGAGAAAAATAAAAGTTCTTAGAAAAATATTTTGATTACGTCAAAATTCTAGTTTTGACAGTCTAATTCTAAAAATACAATCCGTTTTCAATTCGGAGCAGTTTGGGCGAAAAAGTGCGTACCGTTTGAGGTAAATTACTCAGTTTGGACAAAAGTCCAAAACTAATATCCCAAATCCCTCCCCAAATCCGTAGCTTCCTCCATTCCAATCCTTAGCCACCACAATATTCCACTAATGGATTTCCAATATAATACTCCACCACTTAATACCATCATCATCATCATAATCTTCACCATCATCCACCATCATTCATCCATTCCTCCCTCTCCATTTTCTCTCTCTGTTGGCCAAACAAAAGGAAAAGAAAAGAAAGCTTAAACTCCATAGTTGCTTCAAGGAAGAAGAAGAGGAAGCAAGAAACCATCTAAAGTTCTAAAATCCTGAGTTCAAACACAGCAGCCCACTTCTAGGTAAAAACTGAAATTTTCAATCCATTATCTCGAAATACTTTCTCAACCAAAGTTGTAGCCCCGGACGATTTGAATCCAGCCCAACAAACGGCTCGTGATTTCGTTAAGTAACGAAGAAGATATGGCCAAAATACCGGGACTGCGCCATTGGTAGCGAGCTCCTCGGGTTGGCATGTGTTTCTTCACCAAATTCATATTATTTCATTCCAAATACTTACCATAAACTCTCTAACAATTATTAGGAACATCTGGAAGGTATCGTAGAGAAGGTTCGGCATTGGAATGTTGAAGTTAGTGAGTTAATCGTCGGAATCGTGTTCATCGACATATTCAAAATTCTGGACAGCAACTTTCCCTTGATTTCAGGTCCAATTTACGCTATCTTACATATGTTAAATCGAAATACTTTCTATACAAAAGTTGTAGCCTTACATCTTAGCAATCCACAGAATCAAACGGTTTACAATTCCGTGAAGAAACGAGGGAGATATGCCCAAAATACCGCAGGCTGTCCAGTTGTGACGGAAATGACAAAGTTGGTGAATTTCGATGTTGTTTCCACTCCCGCTCATCCGTAAGGTTTCGGCCAATGATTTGATTTCCAGGTCTGTACCCTTGCGTTAGACTTGTCGAATCATTCATCACATACATACATGAACATATATGTTATTCCATATGTTAAAACCATTCCAAAATATATATGTGATGCATATATAAGTTATCTATATGTTGAGATTAAAATACACCAAATCCATAAAGTTAATATACACATAAGTAAATATAAACTTTGGAAATCAACCCAACAATATGTATATGTTAATCAAAGGTGCTTAAAAGACTTAAAGAAGTATTTTGGACACTCAAAATATCAAGAGAAAGATTCGCAAACACAAACGGTCGACGCAAACGGTCGACCGTCGCATTAAACATCG